CATTTCTAGGCTATTAAAGAATGGCCAGTTCCTCACATATAAGAATAATTCCAAATATGTTCTATAAAAGGTTTTAGGCTGCAAGCCACTGATTATTGGATAACGCATTAAGGCAATGTTGCATTTTATTAAAGCCATATATTTTCTCCCACTCTCTGTGTTTCTTTATCTTTCTTTCACGCAAACACGCACACTGTCTCCTTTTTGCTGCCTGTTCATGCTGGTAATTCGCTTACAGTATTAGCAGGAGATTAGTTTTTGGTGCCTCGTACCTGTTGGAGGTTTGAAATTAGAGTTCACACATGTGCCATTGTTACAGTGGCTATTTGAATTCAATATGGTTTTAATCAACATCATTCACGAAGAGTAACTGAAATGGCAGGTACAAAAGGGACTCAAATAAGTAAACTTGCATAGAAAATCAGAAAAGTGTGGATTGTGTTGTGGTTACTGAAACTGCAAGTGCAAGGTCACTTGTATTCATTATAACTTTTTCAAACTGAAGCGAACATGTTTTGTGTGAATGTATCAACACAAATTATCAGACAGGTTGGACTCTGCAGGGAGGAACTTGGTTTACTGTTGTAACTACAGGTACCCTACATGCTATAGATTATTAGTATAGATACACTCAGTCTGTCTTTAATATGATCAGAAATTTGCCAAGACACTTTTCATAAGGTGATCAAATAAAGGAAAGAAATCCTAAAATTCTGTTGAATCTTAACTTTAACACATTTTAATGACATGACAACCCTGTTAGGCGAGTAACATGAAGCTGCACTTGTGAACCCGGATCTTGCACAAACAACAATGACCCACATTAACCCAAGACCAATTGTTTGTTCAGTATCTCATGCATACAAGGGGTTTGCACGTTAAAGAGGTGTAACAATTATTTCATTTAAAGTGCAGCAGAGGCACGAGGTTCAGGTTAAGAAGGCAACAGCCAGAATTAGTTCTCTTTCTCAGGAAGTGGAATTCAAAGTGTTTGTGCAGGATGTGTTGTTGAGGTTGCTGCTGGCTTTTTGAGCTGTTTCTCATTTGTGGTGAAATTTCCCACGTGGTGGCCTGTTGCTTGGTGAGCAGGTGTTGCAGTGCTCTGAAGGTGCTTCTTTTTTTTTGATATTCAGTAAGTGGACCCAGCAGATGAATGACAAGTTCATGGTGCTGACAGTGACAATGTTAGAGGATGTTATGACGATGTTCCTGTTTATAAAAGGACTTAAACTGTTAATTCTTAATTCTTAAGAACAACTTCAGTGTTCTATTCAAGAGCTCATTATCATTAAGACAGTACCCAAGATACTGCTTTGTTGTACTCTCTTCGAAACCTTCTACCGTTGCTATGGTTATCGTTTTTTCTTTCTTTGTTGTTGTTGTCTCTTTTAAGACAGGTTGAAACAAAGACAAATTGTGCCTCCCTCATCATCATCGTTATTCTCACTGAAGCTTCAAAGACCACACAAATCGTATTTAGGAAAGCCCTAGATGTGACACTCTTCACAGCTTGTTGTTTTGTGAGATCCGCCAGCATTTCTCTGTTTTTACAATATTGTGCTTCAGGCATGGGTCGTTGCATCACTGGATGGACTCAGTCAGTCAGTACTTGGCTGTGATCTTGAGTCTGAGCAGGATGGGGAAGGAAGGTCTATGTCATCTGTAAATTTGATGACAAGGGGGTTGGTATACACACTCCCCTGGTTGCTTCTATACAGAACAAAAAGCAGCAGGGAGAGGACATATGCCTGCTGGGGCCTGGTGTTTCTGTAAGTGCGGTAAGAGTGCCGACTGTTGTCCTTGATCATCTTCAAACTTTGTCTCAGTTAGATAAAATATCAATTACACTGCTTCACCTGAAGACAGTTACCACATACGCTTACAAACTGTCGAGGATTAAATTACACAAGAAGGCAAAATGCTTATTTTAGTTGTGATCCACATGGACCATATTATCAATGGCATCAAATTGTGTTTGAGATGAAAAAAGGGCCGCAGTTTGTCTGCCAGGATATGAGGTTACAGCGTGCCGAATTTGGCAAACATCTGCCTGGCTGCTGCCTTCAGTCCCTCCAAATCAGTGTGAGTGTACTGGAGCAGCAGTCATCTTCCTCTGTGTGAAACAGCCTGGGCTACCACCCAAAGGCTTTACCAAATTAGTCCAGTCAGCTAGGGGCTCTTTCCCCCTCATTTCTTTTAGATTTTCGCTAAAAGCTATGAATACATTGAACTCACATAAGAGACCACACTTACTCATTGCTTTTAATTTTGCATGTGGAGGGATGGAGTGTTTGCTGTACTTGAGGAAATGAAAACGTTTGTAAGTTCTTTGACAGGTTGCATCAGAGCCAATGCAGCATTAGCGGACTGCATTTCCAGGACAAAAGTTTGTTTGCGTGAGGCAGACCGGGAGGCAGAGAGAGAGAAAGAAAGAGAAAGGGTGTCTGATAGAGCCATCACTCAGCCCTTTGGCAGTGATGTCTTGTTTTCCTCTCAGACTGGGCTAGATGTATCTGTGCCCCTTATATGTTATTGCTGGGCTGAAGCGTTGGTTGTAGATCACTGTGAAAACTGTGAAGCGCGGGGCACAGCGGTCTCATGAGTGACAGCGGAGAGGCATATTGAGGAGAGATATTGGTCTTCCGCCTTTCCTGGGAACATGCAGATGAACCAATAACAGCCCCTGCGAGTTGTAAATGAGTGGAGAATGTAAAACAGAAAAAACGCACAGCACCATCAACACTATCGCATTTCTGAAGCCACTTCAGCTGAGACACGTAATAACAGCATTTTTCTCATTTCCATGCGTGTTCTTCCGAGGTGCAGGGCCGGAGGGGCGTCCTATAGTCCGCCTTGCTTAGTGTTGCACTTTGTGATCTATATTCAGCCATTTCAAGAGCAAAGACAACGTTAGGCTGTTCCCAGAGATGGTTAAGTGCTTGTGTTTCCCCCTAGAGTCACATGTCCCACCACCAGCCTGAGGTTAAATCACACCAGAGTGTCTTTTCGTGTGTCTCGCATAATCTGTCTGCTGCAATACTATCCCAGCTGCTAAATAAAAAATGAAAATACGAAAAGTGAACGGACAGCTAACTGTGAAATAAAGCCTGTAATGCTTTTTCCTAAACCTTATGGCTGATGATGAGGATATTTGAGGTATTAGTTGCAGCGGCATTAACCTGTCATGTTGGTAAGCATTGGTATAATACCTGATCTATCAACAAATGAGTCATTACATGTAAGGCTCTGGCTTTGTTTGACAACTGTGTGTTTGTGTATTCATGTTCCCATCTATCATCGTCTGGATGCGTACTCACGTCTATGTTTTGCATCTATCCAAACACAAACACGCCATGTCAATGCTCCATGCGCAAAACAAATTGGAGCACTCTGTACAAGAAAAGCTTGCCTGGGGCTAGTCATTTTGAAATTAAAAGCATGTCTCTTTGTTCAGCCTCAGTTCCAGGAACAACGGAGAGAATGTGAATGTATCGCACAGAGGGGAGAGGAACACTGAGCGAGTGCTGTGATTTTCACAGCCAGGGAATCACACAGTAGTCTTTTATCTATTCCCCTCAATCAGGAGACATCCGGCAGGAAAGGTAGGAGATTAGATTAGCTAGAGAGCAGGGAGAGAGAAAGAGAGAGTGGGTTCTCTAATCCTGATGGGGTTTTCAGAGGTACACCCATCACTGTGGAGAAACATGCAGTTTGTAGTGGGGAGTTGGGATTGGGAGGGGTGGGTGCAGGACGGTTTGCCTCACTAAACCCTTCACACTTGCATGAAAGAAGCTCCAGCAAACTAGGGGATTAGACAGAGTGTAATTACACTTGCGGGGCTTCAGAAGTAGCAAAACGTGCACTGACTGGAACACACCTCAGCAGGGGAAGAAGGGAGTAATGCTTGTTAATGTTTTGCCAGTGTGTTGTCGGTGAATTCTTCAACTGAATTAACTGTCTTTAGTGAACACAGGCATCTGAGAGATCAAAGAAGTCTTTATGGGACTACTGTAGAGCGGCCTGGTCAACATTGAGATGTATCCATCTGGTTTGATTTCAATGAGATGTTAAGTGGTGCTACTTTTTGTTTTGTTTCTGGGGAAAGGGTTGGCATATTTAACACCCGTGTGTCTGCAGTGTCACACCTCTCTATTGTGCAATGGTTTTCAGAAGGTATTTAAACTTACAGTATACAGAATACTTATTATAGTAAAAACCGCAGGCCTTGTCCCACAGCTCAGCCACTTCTCCTGATAATCTTCCATAATATCAGCATTTCTCAACAACAAAACTGTATTTTTCCTGTTATTTGTTACCCATAGAGAGATGGAAAACATATATTGAGGAAAGATTGCAGTTAAGATAACCCTTACTGCATGCCTCACATTCCCCAGTGGAGATAAACATCTTACCCTATAAAATAATGTTCACAAATAATAACACTAATGAGATAAATCATTAAAACTAGACAAGAATGTTATTTTTTTCATCATAAATATTTTGCAGGTTTGCTGTACCCCGTAGCACTGTCTGTACGCCCCTGTGTACTTAAAATATTAAACACTGTTAAACTCGGAAGGATTTTCTCCACAGCAGGCTTTCTGTGAATTATTGTATTGTAATGCTGTGGTGGAGAATGGACTGTGGGGATACGGGTGATGCTGTATTGTTGTGTTATTTTTCATGTCCTGCTCCAAAGTGATTTGTTTGAGGGAGACGTCGCTGTGAGGAGTAATGGCTACTAGTTGGGTCTGGCTTCAGGGGGGAAGGAGAGAGTGAGGGATAGCAGGAGCTGAGGGAAGACAGAGAGGTAGCTAGTTTTGAGGGGGGGGGGGTTTCTGTATGTGTTTTAGATTTAACTGCGGGGTTAGTCGGCAGGGAAGTAATCTGAGATGATTGCATCAGCCATCTTGCTGTCGTCAATTAATAATTACATTTTCTATTCCATTTTGTTCGGTCGTTCTGTTTGAGTCTCATTTGATTTTCATTTTATTCTTCAGGTCCCCGAGGTGAGGCCCTGCAGCATGGCCAGTCCGGGACACTGCCCCACTTCCTCGAAGAGCCCGTTGATGCTTACATCGTCAAGAGCAACCCCATC